AATCTGATTCTGCTGTGGAGCCACAACAGGGCAGTGAAAGAGCCGCATGTTGCCGACCCCTGGACTATGAGAATATTTGGCAGGTTTTAGCAGCTCAGTCGTTCTGAACAAGACAAAACGTTGATGTTACAAACTGAATAACTCGAATGGGTAAATATGTGTGTGTGTGTGAGGCAACCAAATACCTGTTGGTGTAAAACGCTCATCTCAAAGATACGACACAATACGCCTATGTAGCTTCTTTGACAACCATCTTGCAAGTCGCAAGGCTGAGAATCACTGGTTTAAACATTGCATGCTTTTAAGGTCGCTTGATCACCCTGGTGGATTTAAGAGACACTGACTTTGAAATCCAGTGTTTACTGCAATTTGTGAGTTCAGACGATGCCTTCAACATGGCGGTGGTAGTATGAGGGAAGACTGATTGAGGGAGGGGGAAAACTCGAGAACTTGGGTTGGAGTTCTGGGCAGCTTCTGCCTGTAGCTTAAAGGCTGGACCCCCTCATAGCTGTAGTAGGACTGATGCAGGACTGAGGAACAGGAGGGAGATGGGGTGGCGGTGGGTCTTGTGAACCTTTCGTCACGGGAGCGGAAGGTGAGGATATGAATTTATAGGGCGTTTCATTGGAAACAGGAGGGGTTTAAGGCATGTTCCTCTCCCCAAACTTCAGTTATAGCATAACTACATTATGCAGAACAACAATATATACAATATAATTGTGTTCTCTGCAGAGGATGTGTTGTTTACTTTCACTTAGAAACTCAACAAAATTGGTGGGAGTATTCAAACTTTGGTATATGACTGTATTTGGTATATAACCGAATCCTGCAGTTCAGTGGTCATTTCCACTGACCGTATTTTAGGAGGTGCTGGTATTCCCTCTCTTTTGGAGTGGTGCTGTAGCGCTCTCTCAGCGTGTAGGCTACGGCTTATCTAACGTGACTAATGTCAGGTTACATTACTTAAGCTACATTAGGCTTGCTTAAAGCAACTCTGATCTCAAAGTAACACAAAAATCAATCAGATTTATCACGTTATGACATCATTCTGCCGCCCGGCCTGCTAGAGGCCCAGAACAGGCACTGATAACAGGCTACTGCTAACATCATCTCTATTCGCCAACTCATAGCCGATTCTGGCGGGACTGTAAAACTGTGTGTGTGTGTGTGTGTGTGAGCATGCTGGTGTGCTGCTGCCTTTCTTAATGTGTTTAGACTGCAAGTAAGAGTGCCAGACCAGCCAGCTCACCACGCCATCATACAGATAATTGGTTAATGCTTTGAGAGCCCCACACACACACACACACACCCGCACACACACACCCGCACACACACACAAACACCCGCATACACACACAAACACACACACACATACAAACACCAGCGTGTAGCCAGAATTTCAGGTAACTCTTTATAATAACAGACCCTAATAAGGGTCATAATAATCTATTATTGTATAATGGTATAATCTAAGAAGTGCTACCATTCCGATTATTAACCATTCAACTGGTGACAAACAGAGCAATGCAAATGCCAGGGATGCTACCGGAATCAGCGAAGATTGGAATCGGCAGATTTTTGCTCATATCCTTCCCAAATTATTGTTTTCATTTTGGCAGGTCTGTGTGGAAGTTTTATGAGGTAAATAATGATCTTCGTTCTTGAAATGCAAAACAAATCCCTGTAAATTCTGACTGTGTTCAGGTTTTTTTTGCAATAACTCTTAAAATGATTATATAGTAATACTGGATTGTTGCTGCTCTTCAGAACTGTGCATTATAATATGCATCAGAAATAGCCAGTAAACAAAAATTCTAAATAATTCATTTGCTTTATGTTAATTTATGGCTGCCTCAAGAACAAAAATAAAGCAAGCTCATCATCGCAACCTGGAACGCAGGGTTAAATGTTCGATGCTATAAGACATTGTTGGCAAATCACTGTACATAACACACTCGACTAGACAGTCCTACCACTTAACTCCTACAAACTAAGATACTAAAATGCCTGTTTCAGGCTTTAATTGTAACGTAGAGTGTGCTACAAAACATGATCAGCATTAGCTTGCTGCTAATATTACACAGGGCCATTGACAGGCTAATGGAAATAGTTTCTGGATTAAACATTGCTATATTTAGTGTGGGCGTGGACAGATGACCATGACTTTACGACCATTTTACAGACATTAAGTGTTACGTTTTTGCAAGTTAATCATCCCAAAACTGTTTTAAACATCGTTCTTTGCTCTATTTTTATCAGCCCTGATGTTGGTCTGGAGCCCTGAAGATCCAATCAAATACCAATGAATAAAATCATGTCTCACCGACATTTATTTCCCGCTTGAATGACCTGTTTCACTCAGAAATATGTTAACCCTCTGGGGTCTTGATTTGTGTATATCTCCTTAAACTCTCCTTTAAAGGCTCTTCATATAACATGATCCTCATGTGTTTCATATCAAAATGCTCCGTTATCTTCATCACTACTTTCCAAAACCGCTGCAGCAGCTTCAGCAGCTGTAAACTCTCTGCACTCCATTTCACATGAGTCTCCGACGTGGACTGAATGAAGAATGAAGGGTTTCCGGCGTGATGGTCAGTGCTTAGTGATTTCCTGAGTGGTCAGTTTCACACAGAATGTAGACGGACACACGAATCCACCAGTTCCACATGGTGTGAGGCAGATGATGTGTATCTCAGCCCCTCTTCACAGGCTCATAACTCTGGATGTGAGTCTCGTATGATCTTGGGATAAGATGGAATGGAAAGGGCGACTCTACAGATTCAGGAAGTGTTTGAACTGGATTTCTGCGCTAGATTATCACAAAGATACAGAAACAGATATAGAAACATTAAATTTGATGCATGGGTGAGCTCATGGACCCCAGAGGGTTAAGGAAGGAAAATGCACTCTGACTGCACACAGGCTGCATCCAAAACCGCATACACCATTCTAAATAGCATGTCAAAACAATAGCAACTGTCGACTTTAAGCTAACTCATTTAAGGTGGAACGGAAAATTGGAATTAGAAGAGAAAAAGAAGCCAACTTGATTCCTGAAAAGCCCTGGCGTGAAGGCATGTTAACCACAACACTAGCAGATCATGTCTCTTTTTCAAAGCGCTGAACTTTATTTTCTTTACCACGGTCAACTACTGCTACTGCTACTCGCTAGACTGGTAAATATCTTACAGGAACTAAGGCCCAGCTCAGTCAAGGTCCTCCCATCAGTGGAAATAGTGGAGAAAGCTAATGCGAACAACAAGATACTCCCAACACACCAACACACACAGACTCTCAGACTCACAGACTGCACCAGCTCTCCTCCACTGAGGCACAGATCAGAGCTACTGTCAATGATACGGGGAAATGTTTGTGTTTATGTGAGCGTCTTTTCGACCTGGCCTTTTCCTGACCCCCTCAGCCCACCGCCTGTGACATCACCGACCACCTAAACATCCAATACGCAGACTGAAATTAAACAAACAAATCCTTACTCCCAGCAGCCCTCCCACACACTCTGTCTGCACACACACACACACAAACACACACACACACCCCTACAGATGAGCTCCCCGACTGGATTTCAGAGCGAACTACAGGATTGTGATGATTTTCTCCTGTTGCGTTCTACACAGCTTTTTACAAAACAGACAGTTCTGGTTCTACAGTCTGATTGGATGAGCGCTGTTTGAATGTGTTGTAAAAATATCTGATATACTGCGGCTTCATAACCACTGAATTCTGAATTAAGGACAACTCACAAAAAAGACATCACTCACGACGTTTACGCAAAACAACAAATAGTGTCAGGACTACGTTCCAATCTCTCTTTATCTCTCACAACTGAACAGCCTGTTTTCGTTGCTGTATATTTAACACTGATATATGCAAATAAGCTCTGTTGCGATTGGTTGTCCTGTGAAACAGTTCCTATAACTGCAGTATGAATGTGTGGGGCATATATCAAACGTGTGCGTGTGTGTATATATATATATATATATATATATATATATATATATATATATATATATATACACACACACATACATACATACATACACACACAAACACACACACACACACATATATATGTGTATAAAATCGTCACTGTCCAAAGAAAAAAGAAGTACAGGAGAAGACAACACTAACTTTCAATGTAAATGAATGTAAAGAGATTTTATTCCAAGTGGTTTTACAGCATTTCTATTGGCCCATTCATCATGAAGTCACACAACGTAAAGGAACAAAACCACCATCTCCATTTGTCGTTTTGACACAATTTGAAAATGCCTGTTGTCCTTTAGATTGTATGTACATTTTAAATGATGAATGGACCAAAAGAAACAGCCCAAAATGTTTTCCTTCTCCTGCAAAGTTTCCATTTTGGAGAATGAGGTTTTGTTCCGTGAGCAGCGATATATATATATATATATATATATATATATATATATATATATATATATATATATATATATATATATATATTAGTCAGAAGTCAGAGACGATAGCTCATCTGCTGCTGCACAGTTTGTGTTGGTCATCCTCTAGTCCTTCATCAGTGGTCACAGGACGCTGCTGGCTGGATATTTTTGGTTGGTGGACTATTCTCAGTCCAGCAGTGACACTGAGGTGTTTAAAAACTCCAGCAGGACTGCTGTGTCTGATCCACTCAGACCAGCACAACACACACTAACACACCACCACCACGTCAGTGTTACTGCAGTGCTGAGAATGATCCACCACCCAAATAGTACCTGCTCTGTGAGGGTCCATGGGGGTCCTGACCACTGAAGAACAGGGTAAAAGGGGGCTAACAAAGTATGCAGAGAAACAGATGGACTACAGTCTGTAACTGTAGAACTACAAAGTGCTTCTATACGGTCAGTGGAGCTGATAAAATGGACAGTGAGTGTAGCTATAAGGAGGTTCCTAATAAAGTGCTCAGTGAGTGTATGTGTGTACAGTGAGCACCTTCATATGGTGCACTAAACACTTACGAGAACTGACGGTGTCCACATACTGAGGGAGGTAAGGCGCCCACATGTCGATGGTGTCCTTCCTGCCCGACTGACCGATCCTGCGCAGCTCTGCTAGCAGAAGAGCCTGAGCTGCTTCCCTTATCTGCAACGAAAACAACCACAGACACACGTCAACATAACCATCTCACAAGAAGCAGTGTCAGAATAACAGCCAAACACATGTAGATTGATCTCTGCTCTCACTCTCTCTTAGTGCTGGTGATTATGATAAAATTCAATATCATGATATTTTCCCCAATAGATCTTAATATCAGATGATATTCAAACCTTACACTATGAAAGTTTTGGGGATTTGGAGACCTCACTGGTGGACATGTAACTAAGATGTAACTCAGTAAAAGTGGATTCCCTTACTCATTAAAGTACCTGCGGAGAAGTATTATGATCTGAAAATACTCAAATATTTATTGAAGTACATATACTTGAGTAAATGTAGCTAGGTAGTTATTTGTTTACACAGTTCTAATCTGAATAGTAAACAGAAGTAGTGCTGAGGATCACTTCATATTGATTTAAATTCCAGTTGATTTTTGGTGGGCTAACGAAATACAGGAGGTTCAATTAAAGTCAATATAATAAATGTGGTGGAACAATTTCAGTGTATATTAGTTTTTTGTAATATAAAAAAAAAAAAAATCAGTATTATCAGCAATTCTGGTCACTCATATCATGACAGAACATCTCACCAGCCGAGCCTTTTCACTGAGACTCTACACACAGAAATCATACAACGGAAACAAGACAAATCAGACTGAAAATAAGTGGGAAAATAGATTCTCTCTCTCTCTCTCTCTCTCTCTCTCTCTCTCTCTCTCACTCTCTCTGAGGACCTGCATGATAGAGGCTGAGCTGAATGTGAGAAGCTTAGTTCCACAGCTCAGTATAACAGGGGAGACGGCCTCAGAGGAAAAGGAGGCTTAAAAATGCTTAATAGAGTCTTTCTCAGTCTTTATTCTCAATCACTCACTCTCTCTCTCTGTCTGCAGCTCCAGTTCGCAGAATAAAACAACAAAACAGCAGAGAGGAGCCCTCAGGGCTTTCTAGGCCCTCAGAGAAGACCTAAAGATACCTGGAGGCTTAAAAGCATGCCTATATTTTTTTTTTCCATTTTTATTAAATTGAATGAGGCTTGTATTTAAACTCTGAAAGTACTACAGTACTGCCTTTGCTTCATTGGCCTCAGCCAGGTGTTCCTTGCATGGTTAGCTAACCGTGGCCACAGAACCGTTCTGTAGGATGATGTAATGACGTAGCTATGTGATTGGTTGTACAATTATGTGCTACCACATCTGAGAAGGTTCTAGCCATAGATATACAAACCTAGATGCCGCGTTGGGTCCAGCCAGCTAGGTCAACATCACTGCTGGACTGCATTCAGTACCATTACAGAGCGGCAGTTTCAGAAAGATACTGTCCAAAAATACACTATTGCACTATTTACACTATTTCAAGAATGTTGCTCTCAGAAAGTGGGATAGGATTATATAAAGGAGGGAACGCAGTGATCCACACTCATGTCTGTGTGATGTGTATTGTTTGTGTGGTGTTTGTGTAGATATGGACGTGTGGTTAATGAGGCACAGAGAACCTGTTGATGTGATTGTTTTTCCTCTGGTTTTATATTAAGCTTATTTCATTTAATAGTCTATTCAGGGGGTCTTAACTTTATGTAGTAGTTATAAAGTTACAGATGTATAAATTATCGATAGCACCTTATTACACATAAAAAAAAGTTGGCTTCCTGTTCGCCAGCTTCTTGTTCGAATTTTCCCGTTCCACCTTAAATGGTGCAGCTTCAGGCACCAGAAAGTGACTGCTGCCCCATTTAAGGTGGAACGGGAAAATTCGAACAAGAAGTTGGCGAACAGGAAGCCAACTTTAGCTCCGTCCTTCTGTGTATTAAGATTAGAAGTGATTCACACATTGATGGATTTGCTGATTGTGATTGTACCGGAGCGCTAAACTCACATCAGGTGCAGACTGAATACTTTCCTGCTGGTCCGGACGGCTAATTATCACGATCAGTTATAAAAGTAATAAAAGCTACCGAGAGCAGATCCGTGCAGCCTAAATTAATCTGTGTCTGAGGATTATAACTAAACAAATGTGGTGAAAATCGGTTGAGTAATAAGGAAGTTGTGGCTGATTTAATCCTGAGACTCATCGTCTCTCAATACAAGTGAATCTGTTCACAAGCGGGTCTTGACCTCTCCAACATGGCGGACGTGCAGCCGTATCGCCTCACATAGAAAACAACAGGCAACGCAGCATCTAGGCATGTATATCTATGGTTCTAGCTGCAGAGCTGCAGTACTCTCAGCTCCGGATATGATGTCACGTAAAGGTGAAGAGAGCACGCGAGATGTACACGATGCCTATTACCAGAGAACTGGCTCTGCTATTACTGCACAATGTTTAAGAAACCCCTTAGATACCAACCTAAAGAACTATTTCACTATTTAAGCATGAGATGGTTCTATGTAGAACTCATGGCTCTAAATAGAACCATTTCCTTTACTAAAGAACCCTTGAAGAACCTTCATCCGTCCTTTTTAAGAGCGTTTGGGTTCAAAACTCCACTAAAATAGGCCAAAAGTAATACTTACACCAGCAAGCTAATAAACAACCTCAGTGTTCTCTTCACAAAAAACACCTGAACACCCACGACACGTTAATGAGTTCATCCTCATACTAACCTATCGCCTCACTTGCACTTGAATGCAGTATTACTACATATGTTACACACTTTGGCGCTAAAGTACGGAGCCCCATTGGTGACATCCTGTTTAAATAAAAAATAATGCGTGGTCCTAATGCGTGGCCACAACTTAGTAAGGTGTGGGAACGAGATCACGGCTTACTAAGTCGTGGCCACGCATTAGGCGCATTAGGATCTCATTCCCACGCCTTACTAAGTCGTGGCCACGCATTATTTTTATTTATACAGGATGTCACTCCGTACTAAAGAAACAAAAATGTCATGTTAAAATTCTCTCGGAAGGGCAGGAAAGTGTGACTGCAATTCTGAAATATACCACTAGAGGCATACCTGGAAGGAGCTGACAGTGCGGGTCTAAAAGTGAGGTACCGCGAGTCTGCAGCTGCGCACTGCTGCCGCATCCTGCTGCGTTATTTCAAACCCAAAAACAATCAAATGAGGTCAGCTCGCTCACACGGACGGCTAATAAATAAGAGCAGTGCACCAGTTCAAATCCACCACTCAATAAACGTCAAAGCTTCAAACTAACACCTATTTTAACGGTTAAACGGCGCTGATGCCCAGGAAAGAGTAACTGGTGAGCGTTAGCTTAGCTTAACTAGCCAGCTCTGCTCACCACAAAACAGCTTCAATTCTGACTAACAAAATCTTTACTGACACAAATTCAGAGGATAATGACTCAAACCTGAGGAAGCGAAGTCGAGCGGCTGGGGTTAGAGACAAAATTAAACCTGTTCTCTGGTGTCTGGAGCTGGAGCCTCCTAGCTAAGCTAATGCTAGCCAGCGCCTCTCTCCGAGCTAACTTAGCTTAGCTAAAAACACACCAGTGCAGGCTCGACTCGACTTACCGGTGTCCTGCTATCACAAGTATAGACGATAAAAACTTTAACAGCGAGAGCAAAGCTGCTGGCGGTGAACTGACAGAAGGCCAAAACTGGACCTGTTCTGTGGTGCTTCAAGCTGTAGCCTGCTAGGCTAAGCTAACGCGAGTGCATGGTGCCACCGCAGTCAGGCTCAGTTCTAACGAACCCAGGATTAAAAACACCTGTTTAGCGGATAAAGACGTGTCTGAGAGCATAATATTCAAGTGACTGGTGTTGAAATGACAAAGACAAAAAATAGACTTGTTCTGTGGTGATTTGAGCTGCACCCTGCTGGGCGATGCTAATGCTAGCTAGTGCAGTTATCCGGCTACAGGTGAAACCCACCGCAGTACAGGCTGTTTGAGTAACAGATGCTCAAATACCACCCGTTTACAGGATAAAGCAGATGAGAGCTCGCCGAAAAACTGGAGTTGCGCTAACTATACACTAGAAGAGTTTGAAAAGACTTTGAAAAGACTTTTGAAAGACTAGATAGACTAAGATAGACTAAGTCTGACACCCTCTCGCATTTAAAGACAGTGTCATGGTTTTTAGTCACAGACTATCATTTTGCAAAGACTAGGAATCTTACAGTGCCACTATTTACAAGACCACAGCTAGATTTTTGAGATTATTCCCCATCATGCACATTTACAAGCAGATAAACACCTTTCCTTCCACTACATAGCAGTACAGATGGAAAGATACGTTGGCTGGGCGTGTAAAAATCTGGGGCTCAGCTCAGTTCACTATAGAACTGTATACTCTGGCAGATCATCGCCCAGAATTGTATTAATTAACCTGAAAAGTGCAGTTAATTTTTAAATTTGACATAAAGATCAACACATCCACAAAACATGCAGCGAGTCAGCATTGTCGGCTGGGTGTCATGAACTAAACCATAACAAACAAACAAACAAACAACAAACAAAAAAACAGTGAAAGAGATCCAAAAAAGGAAAAAAATAAAAAATAAAAACATTGATGATTCTTCAGTAATGCTATTCTTAAAGTCCTCTGCACATTTCCTTACATCACTGTTACACTCAGTGAACCTGAAATATTAAAACAGCCAATTTCCATTGAGTTTATATGATTATTATATTAAAATGGAGCAAATTTGCCGTTTTTACAGAGATTTCAGGCTCTCACGCATGAATTTTCGCTCTCTTTCTTCCTCTCTCTCTCTGTCTACTGCGCTGCGGGCACGCGCTCGCCCGCAAGCAATCAAGCGGCCCAGTACGGCCTTGAACAGTGGAAAGGAGGCCACTGTTAATCTTTGAATAGAAAGAAAATACATGACTTTTAACTCATCCCTGGTCAAATGACATGTTTTGATGATTTTCTAAGTAAAAATAAGTTACATTTTTTCATTTTTCATACATTTTTTTCCATGCAAAATTTTTTTTTGCTCAGTTTATCATTTAAAAAATATATACAAATGTGCCATAACTTTTATAGAGGCCACATGTTATGTTTTTTTTTTCTTCCAATATGTTAAATTCTGCAAATCAACAGTAATTGTGTATTAAAATGATGCAGAAGTATGTTCTCTGTAGAGGATGTGTTCACTTATTTACACTTTAAAAAAAATTAAAAATTTCTACAAATACAAGTAATTTGTCCAGGGGTGCCCAAACTTTTGCCTACACCTGTATAGTGCAACATGACCATTTTTAATGGTCCATTCATCATGAATTGTTCACACAACAAAAAAAAAAGCTTTATTAAATGGTGTAAAAACAAAAAAAAATCCAATGATAAATGATAAACACACTCCAGAATCATAACTTATATAACAGTTAATAGCTTAACAGTAACAGCTGTATGTAAGTATCAGTAAACGCACCTCCAGGCAGCGATCCTGCCACCTGCGAGCGAGCATCTCCAGAAGGGGTGGTCTGAACTTATCGAGCCCCAGCAGGTCAGGCAGCATCACACAGTGCATCGCAGCCAGCTGACTCCAACCTGAGAGACACATACAGAGAAACATCTTCACACAGAGCTCTGCGCCCTCAGCACTCTCACAGACACACGCTAGGGCCGCACGATACACCGTTTACTAATCATCACAATACTGGCCTCTGCAATGCTGTTATCTCAAAAGGCTGTGATATGCAAATGAGCCTCTAAACGATCTGTGTTTGTTATTGTGTGCTGAGTTGGGCTGGGTATCCTTAAAATTACTCAATGTTGATACCAACATCGATACCTGGACTTTAGTATTGATTCCTGCATGATACTTTTCTTCAATACCTTCTCCAAACATATATATAGTTGCATGCAAAAGTTTTGGCACCCCAGTCAAATTCCATATTTTGCTGATGAGGTGAAAATAAGTGAACACATCCTCTATAAAGAACATATCTGCACATTTTAATGCACAATCACTGTTTACTTCAACAGAATTTAACAGAACTGGGGAAAAATAAAATATAAAATGTGGCCTGTGCCAGAGCAGTGGCATATTTTATATTTAATACTCAATTTTTATCCAATATGTTAAACTCAGCAAATAGAAATGGTGCACTAAAATTTTAAAGGGGAACATCATATTAGTTGCCTGTAAAGGATGTGTTGAAACATTTTCACTTAGAAAATCAACAAAACATGACGTTTGAACAGTCGCATCCAGACTTTTGCATACGACTGTACATATTGGGTTAAAGGTCATATATTGTAACAGTTTTGCATAATAATCAGAAAAGCACTGCAGAATTGAATAAGCTCTATTAATAATGTACTTGGATTGTAATTTAGACAGATAATCAGCAGCCTAGACTTTGGAACAAGTGTGTTTACTGGCTCACTGTTGCTGATAAGGCTGACTAACTAGGCGTTGAAATTTGGTATTGAACAACATAGAAAAATTCTATACTCAGAGTAATTTGACGATCACAAAAGTACCAAAATTAGATAGCCAGCCCTAACTGTGAGCATTCTTACCAATCACAAATCGAGACATGCGTTTTAATCAATCAATGTATTCATTTAATCTCACAGCAGCATTTTTGGTCAAACGCAGGCCAGTGTTTAACTGTGTCACACTGACTCACAGATGTATTTTTAATATACTGCAAGTTGTACTGCGATCGCAATATTAGTATTGTGTCCATATTGTGCAGCCCTAACTGACACACACTCTTCCATCATCATACATACTGTACAAGTGATAACTCTGAAAATAAAAAGGAAATTCCACCAAATTTTCCAATTTCTGCATAATTAAATGGTTTAGATGTAAACAGGGTCATTCAGAGTGGTCTGGTGTGAAATGGTTCATTACAGAGAAGTTTACCAAGTCAGATTTGTTCACAGTGGTGGTGAACTTTTTACATGAAGGGTTAGAAACACACTGCTTCATGTCTGAGACACTGTTTTATGATAATTTTGTACAAATTTGTATTAAAACTATTTTTAAGAGAGTCTATTTTTGAGAGATCCCTGCAGGGCAGCGTAGGCAAAAAGCAAAGAGAATTTACATTAAAAGAAGGTTTATATAACACTATTTCCATTTCTGCTGTTTTATTTATAATTTTTTCTTTCATGTAATCTGGAAATGTCAGTCTTGCTCCATTTACTTTCATTTAAAGATAGAAGCACCTTTTCTTTGTCCTGCAAACTTAGCATTTTGGCAATATGAGATTTTGTCCTAAAGCAACGATATAAAGACTCAGAAGACTCGTGTAGGTTCACTGGTGGTTTGGATAGTAAATAAAATGTATGTATTTGTGTTGTAGTCATGGCGACCCCTGGTTCCTATCACCACCACTGTAAAGAAATCAGGGTCTCTACAATCAACGATTTCACACCTAACCACTCTGAATGACTCTGTTTACATTTTGATGACAAAATTATCCAGAAATTTTGAAAAACTGGTTGAGTTCCCCTTTAAAAAGTCAAAAACTGTAATGGGATTTTACAGAGGCTGAGAAAACTCCGTGTTTTCTGGTGAAGTTGCAGAATTTTGCAACTTTGCACACGCGACAGCGGCCACACGCACATCGTACACATTCACAGCCACACACGCACAGACAGCTACACAATCTACAATCCTACACCTACACGAAGCTCATCACTAAACACGGAGTACTGCTGAGGATGAGACAGAAATACAGGCAGTAATTCAGAGCCACTACGGATGAACATGAGGAACGCTGGGGAGGAAAAACAGCTTTAATGAACAATATCAAAACAGAGAATGCCGTCACATATATTAGAAATATATGGAAGAGCTTCCGGAATGAGGTAATGTCGCATAATCCAAAGACTGAGAAAATAAAAGACAGTTCAGTGCAAAGAAATTCTTAAAATTTCTTTGTGGAGCCATATAGATACTTACCTTCATGACAGGGGAAATCATTTAGATTAATCATGAAAAGCACCAGTCTGTAAGTATAATGTATAATATAAAAAAATACAAATCTAAAGATCATCAAGCTAATACTGGAACTGGATTCAAACAACAAGTTTACTTTTATCAAGCAGAGAGGAAAATAAGCATTAATCAATATAAAGGCACTGGATAATCAGTATGTATTCATTTATTATTGAAGAAAACCATTAAGTATATACAACCCCACTTCCAAAAAAGCTGAGGAGCTCTATAAAATATAAATAAAACCAGAATGCAAGGATGTAAGGTTTCATTGATTTGTCTTTTTAGTTGAAAATAGTACAAAAACAACAAATCAAATGTTGAAACTGAGAATTTTATTGTTTTTTAAAAACTATATGCCCATTTTGAATTTGATACCGACAACATGTTTCAAAAAAGTTGGGATGGGACGATGAAAGACCGGTAAAGTTGTGCAATGCTAAAAACACCTGGTGGACGATCTCACAACTAATCAGGTTAAATGACAACAGGTCAGTCACATGACTGGGTATAAATAGAGCCTCCCAGAGAGGTGGAGTCGTTCAGAAGTAAAGATAGGGAGGCGTTCACCACTCTGTGAAAGACTGTGTGGGCAAGTAGTGCAGCAACTATATCGTTTCTCAATGTAAAACAGCAAAGAACCTGGGCAGTTCATCATCTACACTACAAAATATCATTAAAAGATTCAGAGAATCCAGACAAATCTCTGTATGCAAGGGACAAGGCTGAAAACCAGTACTGGTTGGCTGTGATTTTTAGGCCCTCAGGCAGCACTGCATTAAAAACAGACACGATTCAGTTAAAGTTAAAACTCTACCATGCAAAGAAGAAACCGTATATACAAAGGATCCAAAAACGCCTCTGCCTTCTCTGGGCCCGAGCTCATGTAAGATGGACTGAGGCAAAGTAAAAAAAAGTGTCCTGAGGTCCTATGAAAACTTGAAATTCTTTCTGGAAATCATGGACGCCGCATCCTCCAGGCTAAAGAGGAGAGGGACCATCCAACTTGTTAGCAGGACACAGTTCAAAAGCCAGCATCCGTGATGGTATAGCGGTGTATTAGTGCACATGGCATGGGTGACGTGCACATCTGTGAAGGCAGCATTAATGCTGAGCAATATATACAGGTTTTGGAGCAACATATGTTGCCATCCAGACGACGTCTTTTTCAGGGAAGGCCTTGCTTATTTCAGCAACACGATACCAAACCACATCCTGCAAGTATTACAACAGCATGGCTCTGTAGTAAAAGAGTTTGGGTGCTAAACTGACCTGCCTACGGTCCAGATCTGTCCTATCTGGCGAATTATGAAATGAAAAATATGATAAATGAGACCCTGAACTGATGAGCAGCTGAAATCCTGTATCAAGCAGGAATAGGAAAACATTTCACTTTCAAAACTACAGCAGTGTCTCCTCAGTTCCCAAACGCTTACAGAGTGCTGTTAAAAGAAGAGCTGATGAAGCACAGTGGTAAACAGGCCCCCGTCCCAACTTTTTTGGAATGTGTTGTTGGCATCCAATTCAAAATGGGCATATATTTTTCAAAAAACAACAAAAATTTCTGTTTCAACATTTGCTATGTTGTCTTTGTAGTATTTTCAATCAAAAATAGGGTTTAAATGATTTGCATATCATTGCATTCTGATTTTATTTACATTTTGCACAGCGTCCCGACTTTTTTTGGAGGTGGGGTTGTATTATACTCAAAAAAAAGATGGTCCTTCAAGGGTTCTTTAGTAAAGAGATTGTTCATGGTTCTATATAGAACCAATCAAAGAACCATGTGCATGATTAAAGGGTTCTTTGCATGGTGAAATGGTTCTTCAAAATGATGGAGAATGTGTTGTAGATGGTTTTATTTAGCACCAAAAAGGGTTCTTATACTGTTATGATGTCAAGCTAGTCACAATAGAAGAACCCTTTTGACGCTCTATAGAACCCTTTTCAGAGAATATGTTTATATATGGTTCTACACAGAGCCTTTGTGTAAATGGTTCTACATAGCACCAAACAGGGACGTTCTACTGTGTAATTTTGATATTGTAACAACAGCAGAACCCTTTTTGGTGCTATATAGAACCAAAAATGTACAACACATTCTCAATCAGTCTGAACATCTACTTCACCATGCAAAGAACCGTTTAAGCATGCAAACCTCGTTTTTACTAAAGAAACCCTAAAGAACCTTTAATCTTCTTTAAGAGTGTCAGATACATGAACTAAAAATACCAACAGGACAATTTCTGTGTTTTAGAGCAACTCTCCATAAAGAGTGAGTATCTAGAATATCTACTCAGTGTTCAAGCAGTGATTTAAAAAGTGTGCATAACCTCCCATTTCCCATCTGAATGCAAAATGAGTTACAAGCCTTTGATGGGGTGTGATGGGGATTGTGGGAATTTTCATTCTGCTGATGTGAGAAGTTTTGTGGTCAAAGGCAAACTTAATCTCGAGCACAGATCTTTAATGTCAGATAAAAAGTCACGCTGCACAACAGATTTAGAGAATATAAAATCTAGAACATTCAGTTTTTAAAAAAAAGGACAGAAAGAAGAAAAATGGAGGCAACTGATCATGATCTAAGAAA